CTATAATTCGAGTAATTAAATATTTCTGAGTTGAAAGAAAGAGAAACTGAACACCGTAAGATATATTAAGTTTAAAGGATGGGGTGACTCTCCTGGAGACATCTCTCTTATATCCCAGACTACAGTCCTCAGACCAAGTTAGTCTTCCTAACCTTAGCAGGGTCCTTATTCAGATCCTTCTTTTTAGGTGATGACAAAGTTTGTCCATGACATACTCATAACTTACTATATTTTATGGTGGTTGGCCTGTCCCTTTTAGATCCCAGGATAGCTTATGGCTTGTCCCTTTTCTATGCTTGGGTAGCTTACGGCTTGCCCTGAGTCCATCCAAGACCCTCACTGGAACCCTCCTTTTGGGGTGCTAGGAACTAAGGACAACTGAGGCTTACGTCGAGTAAATATGACAGATGCCCAGGAGTAAATATTGTTCTGAGTCAATTAACTCCCAGAAGCACAGCATTAACTATCTTCCTGTGTTGATACAAAAAGGACACTGCTCTAGAGTAAACTATGAAAAGGACATAAGGGAAAGAAAAAAGCAAATATTTCACTTGCATATACAAAATCCAGAGTCCTGAGAAGAATCTGACTTTACAAATCACAGGGTCTGATTTGGGGATATAGTGATTAACAGAGGGGGGAAGCAGAACACAAAGAATAAGTTAAAGATAAATAAAGAGGAATGGGAGTGCCACTGGGGCTGTGTGATGAGAGTAACTCAATAACCTAAACTCCCTGAGGCAAGGGAGGAAGGACAAACCAATCCAACATCTCTCCTAATTTCACTCAGCATGATACTCTCCAGATCCTGCCAGGTAGCAGCTAATTGTATGATTTATCATTTTTTACAGAAGAGTAGTATTCTATGTGTGTATGTACCACAGCTTCTTTATCCTGCCATCTATTCAGTCAAGACATGTTTTAAATAACATAAAATACCACTGATTCATGAATTAAAAAAAAGTATTTTACAGAGTGAAAGTTTAGGGCTGTGGAAGAGAAAGATGCTAACAGAAATCTGCTTCACTGATGGGGACCCCATCCCTGAGAGCAAATTGGGGTTTATATACTCTGCAGTGGACCATTCTCAAGGAAGGAAAAACTTACATTGAAATAATAGTTAAAAGGAGACAAAGTATGAGTTTTTAACTGCCCTATGGTAATTTCCAACATCCTCACTGAGTAAGAGATAATAAATGCATTTTGAATTTTGAAAAGATACCTTACCTTACACAGGAGCCATTTAACATATAAAAGTTAATGCCAATCAAGAGATTACAATCTCTTATTATAAATTTCTTATTTTGGTTAGGTGAAAAAGGAACTCTCATCCACTGGTGGTAGGAATGTTCAACCAATGTGGAAAGTATGAAGAGTTCTCAGTAAATTGAGCTGCCATCACAGATCACAGATCATCCTGTTATTCGTCGATTGCCTCGAGCAGGCCCCAGTAACGTCTCCTTCATCCTGGCCCTGAGGTAATATTCAAGGCTCTTTAGGAGAATGAGACCCATCATTGTTACGGAGCTGCCATATGACCCAGGTATTTCACTTTTGGGAATCTACCCTCAGGACACACAAACATTCATCTAAGATGACATCATCACACCATTACTCATTGCAGCACTTAAAACAAATAGCTATAATATGGAATCAACTTAGGCGTCCAATAAAAATGTATGTATTATGAAGATGTGGTACATATACACTATGGAACACTATACACAATGGAATATTATGCAGCTGTAAAGAATGAAGCAATAATTCAATTTGCTGCAACCTCAATGGAACTGGATTATATCATGTGAGTGAAGTAGGCCAGAAAAAGAAAGACAATCATAGGATGATCTCACTTATCTGTGACATATAAATTAACTGGAAGAAGAAGGAATGAAATATGGCAAAGAGTGGATGTCTAGATTGCCCTTGACTGTACAGTACGGAAGAGAACAGAGAAGGAAAGAAATAGCGGTGGGGGTGGGAGGAAAGAGATAAAGAAGATGAAGACAGGAAGTAATGGGTAAGCAGGGGTCAAGGGCCTGAGATACATCAGTAATGTGGAGGGGTGGGTAGCTACAGACACAAAATAGAGTCAACAACATTAAAAACATGAGACACAAATGACAACAACCAAACATTCTGATGTGCCTGTAAGGTGGCAGCTTGTGGGGGTGGGAGGGAACTTGGGGTCACTGGTGATGGGAAATTGATGCTAGAACATTAGACGTTTCAATAACTTTGTAAATCGTGGTTCTTTAATAAAATAAAAATTGTTTTTTAAAAAGATATTTTGGTCTGATGACTGTTTGACCTGGTCTTTCTTACATCTCATCTCAGCAGAAGGCTGGCGTGGAGATATGAGATATGAGATATGGTGCAGGGCTTCTCCACACACTGACTAAAAGGCCTCTGCATAAGTTATCTCTGCCCAGGTCTGGCCATAACTGACCTGTAACTTTAGCCAAGTGACCTTAGCTGCCAGCCGTGACTTCTTTGTCAGTAGCTGACAGAGGAATGCTAAAGTCTTGCCACCGTATCGTGAAAAAACAAAGTCACAGCAGTGGTAACCTAAATGTTCATTAAAGACCCTGGGTTAGCCTTCTTGTTTTCCAGGATAAACAGGAAAATAAATTTGGGTAACACTGGAGGTTGAAAGTGTTATTTCTTCACTCGACTTAGTTTTAGGGCTATTTCCCATCCTCAGCCTAGCAATTCTCAATGGACTGTGTTGAGGAGAAAATCAGAAGACCTAGGAAATCAAAGGCAAAGCTTGGAGCATACCAGCCTATCTCCCCCCAGGAATGGGAAGGGGGACTTCAACTATATTAATTCACATGTACTTACGGTTCTGTTTTCTAGCAAATGGGTATATTAAAGGTATGTCCCTTCCCCTTCAGGGATACCAAACAGCCACAGTACATGTAAGAGGAATAGGGAAGCATATTTAAGGCAATAGAAACTAGACCTCAGGTGCTGATACTAGATACTGATTGAAAATGCTGCCGTTAAAGATCATTGTTAGAGAAAATTTAGTTTGGTTTTAAAATGCAGTCTTTAGCCCTGAAGCCCAAGAAGGAGGAACTATAACTTGTAAGTTACAAATTTTATAAATTTGGTAGCTACATCTGTAGTGAAACATGGTTGGGCCTAGAACATGGGCCTGATAGTATCTAATAAATGAGAGAAAGGACCAGGAACTCACAATAGGTCAGAACCCCTGCCCATGTGTGCCAAGTTTGCCTACTTGGCAACCACCCAGTCTTGAAAGACCATAATCAATAGTTGACAAACTACTCTAGGCACCATGTAATCTCATCAATGGCCAAGATCCACAGACTCTTAAATAAAGCTCTCAGGAGAGTGCAACATAGAACGTCCTGACCCTGCTCCAGGCTGTCTTCACCCTGGTCACTCGGAGGGGGACAGGTTGAGTTTCCCTCCCCACCCCTGCAGAGTCCAGGCAGTCAGAAACCTCTTGAATCCAACCATATCCATGCTCAAGGCCACTCTGCACAGATTCAGATGAGCCTCACCTTTGAGGGAACCTGCAGAAAAATCCAGGTATTCGGGACCCGTGACTGATATCTCCAAGCCTGCTCGGAATGGGTCTGGGCCTCCTCCCCCAGCTCCCCAGTTTTCCAGTGTCTTGGTAGTCACACAACAAACTGCCTCTGGTGCCATAAAATCTCATCAACGGTCAAAACCCAGAGACTATGAAATAAAGCTCATGGAAGAGTGTGACATAGAACAACCTGGAGCACGAGGCCAAATTCATGGCTGCATGACCTCTTATGCTCTAGCCCACTGATGTACCAAAAAGTAGCACACATTTGTTTGGGTATAACTGTACATGCTTGCAATCTTTTATACAAGGACTTATTTAAATGGCTTCAGGATGAAATATAGCAATCTTCACAAACTTTCTTCTTATGGTGGTGGGAAGGTGCACAATGTTGGGATTGGTGTTTGAATATTAACTGTAGTCAACTATTGTTGAACAGCTTTTTAAAAATAAAATAAAAATAAAAACAAATTGAAAAAAAATCAATAGTTCCTATTAAAGCCTCCTTTTTCTCCTGTCTTTGAGGCTCTAAATCTATGCATTTTAGACAGGCGGGATATTTCTCACAGTACATGCTGGATGATCAATTAATTGTAAACACCACTGCACTTGGACCAGCCATAGCACAGCGATAGCACAGCGGTAGGGCGTTCGCCTTACAAGCGGCCAACATGGCCGACCCAGGTTCGATTCCTCCGCCCCTCTCGGAGAGCCCGGCAAGCTACCGAGAGTATTCGATATGCCAGACACAGTAACAACAAAGTCTCCAATGGAGACGTTACTGGGCCTGCTTGAGCAAATCGACGATCAACGGGAGGGCCTTTACCTTACCTTTACCTTTACATGCTGGATATCAACTGATGCCCACCTCGAGGCAAAACGCTTGGTTACATAAAAAAAAAACACTATAGCATGAGCACGCTTCATAAATATTCATATCCAGGGGCTGGAGCAATAGCACAGCGGGCAGGGCGTTTGCCTTGGAAGTGGCCGACCTGGACCTGGGTTCGATTCCCAGCATCCCATATGGTCCCCCAAGCACCGCCAGGAGTGATTCCTGAGTGCATGAGCCAGGAATAAACCCAGTGCAATGCTGAGTGTGACCCCAAAAGAAAAAACAAAAAGAAAAAAATAAATATTCATATCCAGTTATAAGGGGACAGGAAGCCTGGCGATGGGAGAGGCGAGGCCAGGCGAATGGGAGGCGGGGCGAGCGGGAGGCGGGGCGGGGCGAGCGGGAGGCGGGGCGGGGCGTGCGGGAGGCGGGGCGGGGCCAGCGAGCGGGAGGCGGGGCGGAGGGGCGGGGCGAGCGGGAGGCGGGGCGGGGCGTGCGGGAGGCGGGGCGGGGCCAGCGAGCGGGAGGCGGGGCGGAGGGGCGGGGCGAGCGGGAGGCGGGGCGAGCGGGCCGGAAGTCGGCGGCTGGAGCGAGCCCGGCGACATGATGACCCCCGAGCGCGCTGCTGTTGATGGGCGTGAGCGGCTCCGGGAAGTACGTCCCGGCGGCGGGTACACGGGAGGAGGACAGGCCCCCGGGGACGCGGGAGCCCTGGGGAGTCCCCTTCCCCTTCGCGGGGACGGGAGCGAGAGCCCCGTCCACTGTACTAAAGATACTTGCTAAAGTATCCCCGCCCACTGTGCTAAAGTATCTTGACCTTCAGATGCTCTAGACGCTCCTTAGTCAGGAACCACCCATGTGGGTCGTACCCATTTAAAAAGCTTGCATCGGGTAAATAGATATATCTTTAGAACAATTGGGGAGGGGGGCATGTTCACCCTCAAAGACAGGGAATCTGGGATGAAATTAAAACTCAGCACCTGCAGTTTCCTAGCAGTCTGCTTTAAAAGTGGTGTCCTCGGGCTGGAGCGATATAGCACAGCGGGTAGGGTGTTTGCCTTGCACGCGGCGGACCCAGGTTCCAGTCCCAGCATCCCATATGGTCCCCTGAGCACCACCAGGAGTATTCCAGAGTGCATGAGCCAGGAGTAACCCCTGTGCATTCCTGGGTGTGACCCAAAAAAAAAAGTGTAAAACTGCTCTAAGGGACTTAGTAACCGCTAGCTTGGGCAGTTAGTCACATTTCCATCCGGCGACAGGGAAGATGTCCTATACAATTAAGATGGTTATTTTCATGCATTCAGAAAAAAAAAATTATTGGACTCAGTCATTCATGGTTGTCACTGATAATGGGACAAAAATCCCTACCTTCAGGGAGTTTATATGCCACTATGGGGGATGGCAGTGAATACATACACATCAACCAAAAGTGCCGGTGGTGGCCACCTCCAGGGGAGAGACTGGGGAGGAAGTGGGCAGAGCACCAGGCAGGAGGGTCAAGGAATGACCCTCTGAAGAAATGTGGGAGTTAGGAGAGAGAAGGGGACAAGCCTGGAGAACAGTGGGAAAGCGTTATGGCAGAGGACTAGAACGTGTCAAGGCCCTGAGGCCTGACTGCCTTATGGATTATCAGGGAACCCCAGCAGGGCAAGATGGGTGGCCTGAAGTTAGAGATTCGGTTATGGAATATAAATAAGAGCGTTGTGGATGGACTATGAATGAGAAGTAAAGAGGGGTTTTAAGACTTGCACCTGGGCAGCTTGGAGAAGGGAGAAGTACACCAGTGTTTCCCAAAGAAGAAGATGCTGATCCAGGATTTCTGGAAGAATCCAGAAGGGCAGTATTAGCCTCTGATGAAATTAGGGGTTGTTGAGTAATGCTATGTTTGGTTTTGGGTCATACCAAGCACTCCTTGAGGGCCTCTTTTCGTAGTGCACAAGGGACCATGTGGCAGGAATTCAGCTGGGATCAGCCACGAACAAGGCAAGCCTCAACTCGTGGACTACCTCTCCTGGAGTAATAATTTTTCTGAATAGGGAATCTCAGGACAAAGAAATTTGGGAGCCTCTGTTATAGGCTGACATGGAGAAGCAGGAGACACATGTGGAAGGAAAATATCTAGAGCTCAGTGTGGGACTGAGTCTATTTCAAATAAATTTGTCAAATGGGGGATTGATTTTCCAAGTCAGAAGTTTGCGGAGGTATTACCTCTGTGACCCCCCCAAACTTTTTTTAAAATATATTTGATTTCAGAAAGTGAAGCAATCATATAAAAATATCAAGTAGGGCCTAGAGCAGTAGCCCCTACTTGGGTAAGGGTGTTTGCCTTGCATGTGGCTGACACGGGTTCCATTCCTGGCACCTCATATGGTCCCCTGAGCCCCACCGGAAGTAATACCTGAATGTAGAGCCAGGAGTAAGTCCTGATCACTGTCAGGTGTGGACCCCGAGAAACAAGTAAACACTTTGGAATTGGTAAATGTTTACCAACAAATTGGACTTTGATTACAAAGTTGAGGTCACCAGATGGAAGGGGGAGGGGTTGAGGAATGAGGAAAAAGAGAGACTAGAAGCGACATAAGGGCAGTGGTGGAGAGATTTTGGTACTGGCAGTACAATAACTTTATACACCAAAAGTATAATTGTAACCATGTTATCTTAAACACAGTTTTTAAAAATTGTAGAGTTGGTATATAAAATTTGGGAGACCAGGTCTGATAAATAGTAAGCGGATATGTAAATTGCGATGGTGGTAAATGGTATTTGTGCAACACCTTAGAAATTGAAAGCCAGAAAGGATTTAATTTCTCATTGGCTGCCTTCTCTGTCCATCTTCCGTGGCACAGACCAAGCCTCTGGCGGCCAGCTGGTAGCTCAGTCAGTGCTGGCTAAATGAAATGAGCGGATGGGGAATGGGTACTGTGGCTCAGTTCTCTCATTTTGCAGGTGGGAAAATAGTTTCACCTTGCACAGGAGCTTAGTCATGTAATGACAATAGAGAACCTGCCAGACCTCAGATTCAGAGCCCCGAGGCCTTCCCACCGCCTGCACTGCCTTTTAGGGGGAACAGATCCTTATCAGATACTCTGAGCAGAGAGCCCTGGACATCCAGTCCGAAGGGCTGGCCTGTCTCTTGTGTCCATTAAGAGTGCGTCTCATCTATTTATTTCTTCATTTTTGTTTTGGGAGCCCCCCTTCCCCAATTGTGCCTAGAGCTTACTCCTGGCTCTGTGCTCAGGGATCACTCTTGGCAGGAACCAAATGGGTTGCTGGGGGTTGAACCTGCAGGGCCTTCCCTGTTGTCTTGTCTCTCTGCTCAAGCATATCGCCCTGAGACCTCAGGCAGTGCTGTGCTTTGCACCTTGTTGGAGTTAGATGAGGTTAATCCCCTTCACATCCCTCCTAGCATCCTAAGGGGAGTTTTGAGCACTTCATGAATTCAGTATTTTTTTTCCCTTAGAAAATAAACACCTAGGGGCTGGAGCTGGGACAGGGTGCATGCCCAGCACTCTGTGCCTGCAGTGCCTCGTGATCTCCTGTGCACCATCTGGTGCAGCCCTGGAGGTTTCTGAGCACCTCTGTGGCCTGGGTGAGCCCAAGCACTGCAGAACTGAGCAGTACCACAGTCTTTTACACAAGACCCCTGGCCATGTGGGCCAAGAACCACCAGAAGGGCTCTCAGGTCTCCTGAGCACTACTTGGGAGACATCTATTAAGCAGGGGCCAAAACGCTTAAGGAGTTTAATGAGATTTGATGGTATGTTTCGGGGGAGAGGTTAGTGGCACGTGGGTAATGATGTCTTTCTTTTAACTCGTGGAGAAAATGAAAACCATACTCTAGATTCCATGATCAAGAGCATCACTTTTGGGGTAGGAGCAATAATGCAGTGGGCTGAAGTACATGCCTTGCATGCTGGAAACCCAGGGTCAGGCTCCTGAACCCCATGGTTTTCCAAGCATCTGCTGGGAGCGGCCCCTGAGCACAGAGCCAGGAGTGACCTTAGAGCACCTCCGGGGATCACCCAAAACCCAAAACCAACAAGGCATCACAACCACTTGCAGATTGTCATCAGTATACTTTGATCTGAGTTCTGGGGGGCACCCTAGGATGGGCTGGTTGGGAGGGTGTGGTCATTTGAACATCTGCATCCTCTCCACAGATCAAGCGTGGGCGCCCTGCTGGCATCCGAGGTAACCCGCCTTTCTGTCCCTCAGTGGCACACCCTTCTGGTCTCCTACTGTTCTCTCCCTTCCCCGACCCGAAGGCAGGCTGATCTGTAAGCACGAACAAGTACAGAGTGCCACTCACTGCTGCAGTTTGGTTTCCCATCGGGTGATTACAGATAATGATGGGTGAGCCCCACAGCACACTGCTGAGCTTCAAACCCCTTTTCTTTCCTGTGGGCGGGTGGGGGGGGGAGGCAGGGGATGCTCCCCTGCAACTGGGGGGAAGCATGAAGCTGCTGTGTGGGCCCTCGTGGCGGCAGTCGCCTGAGATGCCCTGTCCGCTACATACTCCTTTCGTTTTGTTTCCAAGCTCGGGTGGAAATTCTATGATTCTAAGCTCCTGTTATAGATTCTTAGAGCACCATCACTTATTTCCCTTGTGCCGAGTGTAACATGACATTAAATAGGATGATAATTTGAATAGTACTTAGATACTGCTACTTAAAAAAAAAATTGGAGGGTGGAAGGTTTGGGCACACCTGGTGGTACTCGGGGTTCACCTCTGGCTCTGTACTCAAGGGTCACTCCTGGAAATCTTGGAAGCCATAGGCCTTCCTGGGGGTTGGATTGGGGTCAGCTGTGCACAGGGCAAGTGCCTCTGTCCCAGTACTCTCTCTCCAGCCCTGCAAGATTTCACTTCTGAAGAGCAGGATCCTGGCCGTGTATGTAGCCATTGTACACCCATAGGACCTGACAGTGTCGGGAAGTACTGGTGACTCCCTGTGCTGTGTGTGGGTGAGAGGGACGAGTGACCAAGGCCTCATTCCTGCCTGCTACCGAGGCACGTCCTGGATGCTCCCTCAAGCCAAGGCACTGGCAGGAGTCTTTGCAGTGTGGTTCCTCAGTCGGGAGCCAGGCCCACAGAGCAGCTTAGTGTGGACCTCATTCAGGTGCACATGCTGAGTGTCCAGAGCTGTGAATGGAACTGACCGGGCAGAGGTCAGCACTGGTGTCTGCACTTCCAAAGACCGGCCTGTGCCCCTATGGCCCATTGACCTGCCTCGGACGGCTTGTCACTAAACCATTAATAGTTCTGATTCTAGAGCAGTTTGGGTATACTGCGCTGTCTCTCTGCTCTCTCTTCTCACATTCTCTCTCTCTCTCCCTCCCCTCTTCTCTTTCTCTTTCTCTCTTGTCTGTCCTCTTTCTCCCTCTCCATCTCTTTCTCTCACCCCCTCTCCCTTCTCTTCTCTCTCCCCCCTCTCACTCTCCCCTGTCTTCTCTCTCCTCTTTCTCTCTCTCCCCCTCCTTCTCTTTCTCTCCTCCCTTCTCTTTCTTTCTCTCTCCCTGTCTTCTCCTCTTTCTCCCTCCTCTTCTGTCTCCTCCTCCTCTCTCCCCCTCCTCTCTTCTTCCTTTCTCTCTTCTCTCTCTCCCACCTCTTCTCTCTCTCTCCTCTCTCTTTCTCACTTTTTCTCTCTCTTTCTCCC